ACATACATATACATATACATACACAAAGAGAATACAGTGCTGGAGAATTACTACTTGTTACAATAAATAACAACTTTACAAAGTTGTATATGATTTTATGATACTTTTTGTGTATGTTTTGGACATACACAAATCCCCAAACCCGATGTGGTCTGTGCGTATTTGCAGCGTGTTTCTGTTTATAATTGTGTTGTGAGTCTTTGCAGTGCGTTTCTGTATTTGATTGTGTTGTGAGTATTTGCAGCGCATGTGTTGTCAAACTGATGAAGATGCTTTCTTAATTTGCTGGTGTGTTTTTTTCCATTTGCAGCGCGGTGAGCTCTCTCGGCCACCATACCATACACTTTCATTGAATGGAAAAAGAGTATAAATATCTACTTTTGTGATCCAAAGGGGGGGGGACGTTAACTAACTAAATGTGAATGGGTCCTATAAATAATGACCAAATGATCATTTTGGGAGAAAGTAATCCTCTATCATGGAGAAGAAAAAAAAGGGGTAAGTCTGGCAATGTTACTGTATGTTTTCAAAGTCATGCTGAAATTGTGAGAAAGACAGAACAAGAACAAGAGAAACAAAGAAGTGCAAGCAGAAGGAAGAATGCAAGAAAGAAACTAAACATTAGCTTTAGTAATTGGGATGTGGTCCGGGCATCTGGACATGCTCTGGTTTCACAGCAAGGGCTGTTTATGCCAGTGTCATGCAGAAAGTGGTGATTGTTATCATATACACTGCAAACTGATAGCATTGTTATGGAGCTGTTATACTGCTCGGGGCTTCTGTGTGTGAGCCAAACCTCTGTGTGTAAACATTCTGCAATGTATGAACACACACACACACATTGAGATGCAACCTTGAACATGTCAGAGTGGAAGCACAGATTGTGAGTGTCTGCATTACCTGGTTCATCAGTTCCCATCTCGTTCCATTTATTTGTCAGCTCTTTCTGCTCTGGGACCGGCCGCTATAAAACAGAAAAAAAAAAAAAAGTTTAATTGCTCAAATGCACATGTAAATGTCTCATTGTACATACATTGAAATATACATGATGATACCTTCCGTGCCAGTGGGATTCCCAACTCAGTGCACATACTGTTCAAACTCTTCAGGATCCTCTTCTCCCAGTTCACCTACAACAAACACACACAAGACAAACAATCAGTCATCTATGTACACTGCATGGCTCCAAAATGTATTTGGACACTTACACCACACTTAATGTATGAATATCTTTGCAAAATATATCAAAATATAAAACAACTGAAATCTATTGTCAAGAAAATAGCACAAACATATGTTTCAAGCAAAACATCTCACCAAAACAAGTTTGTTTGGTTTACGTTACAAATGATGACTCAAGATTTGGGAGTCAGTAAGATTTTTTTAGAAGATGCATTAGACAGCTACAAAAGTTAAAAAAAATGTAAATGAAAAAATCCTGAAATAAAACATACCCACAAAAGTATTAAGCAGCACAACTGCTTTCAGTAATAAGAAATGAAGCAGCAAATTAGAAGGATTTCTGAAGGATCATGTGACACTGAAGACTGCATTTATGGCCGCCGAAAAATTCAGCTTTGCCACTACAGCTATAAATTACATTTTAAAATATATTAAAATAGAAAACTGTCATTTTTAATTGTAATAATATTTCACAATGTTATTGTTTTTACTGTATTTTTGATTAAATAAATGCAGCCTTGCTGAGCATAGACTTCTTACTGAACCAAACATTTTCAACGGTATTTTATATTTACTGAAGCAAAATGTTGACAACCAGATCATGTTCATAGTTAATGTGGTTAACTACATCTGTAATTACTCTGCTACGACACCTTTGTGAACTTGAGGAGAACTGACTTCATACAGTACAGTACATCCACTCAAGTCACCTTGACACCAGTTGATTAAAAGTAACGGCTCAGAAAAATGAAGTTTGTTCTGAGAAAATGCAATTTGTCATTTGCCTGCAGAGTCAAATGCAACATAACCTTTTGTTATTTATGCAATGATCTTCGGAAATTTAAAGTGTGACTTACAGTAAGAGTTCAAAAGTTTCCAAATACTGTTTGATGCCACTGTATGCGAAGTACAAGCAGAGAAAGATATAAAGACTAAAAATAGTCCGAATAATAAATATACAGATGTAAGAGAAAGAGTGTGTACCTGGGCTTTGCGCATATATTCCAAGGGCTCTTTGGTGTGTTCAGGAGGTGCTCTAGGGTGCCCAGGGGGAGGCAGACTACACCACACAAACACACACATAAAGCATATAAAGCATAAGCATATACCATTGTTTACCAACCACACAGCAGAGTAGATCTGTCTTTAAATGTTTTTGTTAATTCTGCTATGAAGAAAATGAATGAGATTTTTACTTCTGGAACCAGACTGTTGCACTCTGTTGTATTCATATATTGGCTCCTCCCACTCTCAAAACTCTGACATACACCAGACGTTCACATTAACGTCTACACAAAAAGACATTTAGCAGGGACACCTATACTATAACACACCCGAGGCATCAAGGCACCATACTCCATTATCAAACTTTATGAAGCTTCTTCCTTTCAGTCTCTTCAGTCTTTCCTCAGTCCCATTAACTTAAAACACTCATTTTAGGATAAACACGTCACCAAAAATTACAAACAGAGAAAGTGTATCTACAAAACAACTTTTTTTCAAACAAGGGGTCAAATTAACCATTTTCAAACAAGGGGTCATACTTTTAAAGATATATGTATATATTTTATTGCTTTTTTCTCATCTGTAACAACGTCCAGCTCAAACAATTTTATAGGCTACACTCTGTAAAAGTAATTTGCATTGTACCTCAGACACTCCTGTCAGTCCTGTCTTGTATTTGGACCTGGATCATTTTAACCTTAATAAAGTAATTCTGTCTCTTGTCATTTTCACATTTGGCCAAAAGGAGTTCCTGTCATAAAACTGTATAAACACTAAAACTGGAGGAACAAACACTCTAGACACTTTCAATGTACTTTTGTGTGTGTGTGTGTGTGTGTGAGAGAGAGAGAGAGAGAGAGAG